GAGGGAGAGGGAGAGGGAGAGGGAGAGGGAGAGGGAGAGAGAGAGAGAGAGAGAGAGAGAGAGAGAGAGAGAGAGAGAGAGAATAGTGGGGTGGGGAAATCAGAGAAGCAGCAAAAATGAAAGAGGACTAAATGCACTGGACGTAAGTCAATGAGGTAATTTGGGGAAAGCCCAAACAAGACGGGGACTGATTGCTAGGGAAACCACCTGTGGCTAGACAGTAAGGACTCTCAATCCCAACCTTCTACTTCAGGAGCCAGGGAAGGGAGAATGAATAAAGTTAGTGGGTCACCAATGGCTAATGGTCTCTAAGCAATCATGCCTACATAGTGACCCTAAAGTTGGTAGTGTTTGGGGAGCCAGGCGTTATCCCAGCACTCCCTCGGGAGGCAGAGGGGGGCAAAGGGGGTCAGAGAGAGGCAGAGGCAGAGGCAGAGAGGCAGAGAGCCAGAGGCAGAGAGGCAGATCTTTCAAGTTTGAGGCCAGCCTGGTCTACAGAGCTAGTTCCAGGACAGCCAGGGACATATATATCTAAAAAACAAACCAAAGCCACACTCCCTTTCCTTCTTTCTGTTCCATAGTCTCCACAAGCAAACTCCATGAAGCATTCTCTCATTAGCTTTTATTTACTGGGCCATGAGACAGAGCAAAGCTTGTCTTCCTCATCCACCACTTCCTAGAAAAGTACTCAGCACACTCAGCTAGGGAAGGGCTCAGTGGGTAAAATGTTTGCTCTAAGACTGATCCCCAGGCTAGAATGTAAAAAGCTGAGTGTGTAAGACACACCTACAATCCCAGCTCAGGAGAGACTAAAATAGTTATATCCCTAGAGCATGCTGGCCAAACAGTCCAGCCTACATGTCAAAATCCAGGGCAGTAAGAAACTCTGTTTCAAAACACAAAGTGGGCCAGGAACAAACATGCTTTTAATCCCAACACTGAGAGGTAAAGGCAAGTGGACCTCTACATACTGAGTTCCAGGACATCCAAGGTTATATATAAACCCTGCCTCAAAAATAAACAAACAAGCAAACAAACCAAAAAGCAATATAGATGGCTCCCTAGAAAAACTGTCCTGAGGCGTGCGCGCACACACGCGCGTGCACACACACACACACACACACACCTGCCAAAGGTAGGAGAATTCACTAAATGTTTAAAAACTGAATGTACTCTAAAAACCAACTGAAACACTACTAGAGCAACAAGATCTTAGGTCTTGTTTTTGAGACATGATCCAGAAATCCTGACTGGCATTGAACTTACACTACTGTTACACCTTGGCCTTCTGTATGCTCGGATTATAGATCCATGGCCTCCACAGCCAAGTCCCTAGAGCGTACTGTAAGTTTGTCCTGGTGTCTACTTTCACGCCCTCACAGTCACTCACTGCTCTGGAATTACTCTATAAAATCAAAGCCTCAAGAAAAGTTCACCCAGTAGAGAGAAGGAACAAAAAATACTTTCTACAAACCAGACAGTGAAGTATAAAAAAATAAAGCAGAAAAAAATAAAGAGTTAGAAGGGCCAGGAGTGATGGGACAGTTCTGTTCCATCATGGGACATGCACTGGGGAGCCAAGCCAAGAGAATGATAAGTTCCAAGACCAAACTGCGGGAGAAGAGAAAAGAAAACAAAAAAATAAGTGAGAGAGTGATTACAGAGAGAATATCATAGTGTACACAGGAAACAGGAGAGAGAGAGATTATAGAGAAAGAATATACTGCACACAGGAACTTGGGTGTTGCAAGAAAGCAAACACACAGCAGCATGTGACTGAAGGAGGAGGGACAAATGGGGTGTGGCTTAACCTTTGGTTTTCATATGATCAATCCCAGAAATATACCTATTGCCTTTCAACTATGAGAACGCTTAACAGAAGTTAGAGCTGAGCAGTGGTCTCGCATGCCTTCAGTCCCAGCACTCAGGCAGAGGCAGGCGGATCTCTGAGCTCAAGGCCAACCTGGTTACAGAGCGAATCTGAGGACAACCAGGGCTACACTGAGAAACCCTTCTCAGAAAAACCAGCACCAACACAGAGGTTGTGATGTGACTAGAGGGCAGGGACAGGCGCCACTTCTGCACAGCATCCACAGGGTGGATCATGACCACCTTAACTCTGCCTCTAGGGTACCTTTGTTTTTATAAACTTGTTCACTCTTCTGTGCTGAGTGTTTTATCTGCATAATGTAAATATTCTCCATCTATTCCCAGTGCCCCAGGAACTGGGGTCACAGATGGTGGTGAGCAAACGGGGATGCTGGGAACCAAGCTCTGTCCTCTGCAAGAGCAGGCAGCACTCTTAACCTCAGAGCCAGCATCACTCCAGCACCATTAAAACAATAACAAGATTAAATTAAAATTTAAAACCTTTAAGAAATTAAAGGTATGTGCCGGGCAGTGGTGGCGCACACCTTTAATCCCAGCACTTGGGAGGCAGAGGCAGGTGGATGTCTGAGTTCGAGGCCAGCCTGGTCTACAGAGTGAGTTCCAGGACAGCCAGGACTATACAGAGAAACCCTGTCTCGAAACACCCCCCCCCCAAAAAAAGAGAAATTAAAGGTATGTCTTTAATTTCTGGCATTGTTAATATTTTATCAGTTTAAAATATATTTACAAGAAGAAATAGTGACTAAAAACCATAAGGCTTATTATCAATGGCTTAAAATTCCACCTAGCTAAGGTTATCAATTTATTTAAAAGCTTAATTTTACTAAAATTAGCAATCTCATGAGCATCTTCTTACAAATCTTTCTTTTTCCAGATTTCTTTTTTAAAAAAAGACCTAGTGATTGGATCATCAGAAAACTGAAATGCATACTTGGTGAGTTTCAATGTAAATCATGACAACTAGCATTTTATAGTGTGTTTTAAAATATATTTAGTGGGTTGCTAAATATAATCTAATTTTTCTCCCAACAAAGTAAAGACCACAGGTCTCTTGTACAGAGAAGGGCTGACTTTCAGAATAATTAGGAAGTTTGCTCAAGGTATAGCTAGTTAAGTCACCAAACTGGCAAATGAATTCTATCTCTCTTCTCAGATTTGTAGATATAGAATTATTTCTAGGTGATATGGCTCACTTGATAAAGTGTATACCTTAATCCACAAAGCCCTGGACTGGATCCCTAGTACTACATAAATCAGGCATGTTGCTCCTCATTCTGGTAATCCCAGAGTGCCATGTAGAGGCAGAGGGATCAGAACTTAAGGTTGCTCTCAGCTATGAAGTGAATTCCAGGCCAGCTTGGGATGTCTAAATGAAGAAATGAACCTTATCCATTGACTTAAGAGTTATTGTTGCTGGGTGGTGGTGGTGCATGCCTTTAATCCCAGCACTTGGGAGGCAGAGACAGGCGGATTTCTGAGTTCAAGGCCAGCCTGGTCTACAGAGTGAGTTCCAGGACAACCAGGGCTATACAGAGAAACCCTGTCTCGAAAAACCAAAAAAAAAAAAAAAAAAAAAAAGAGTTATTCTTGTTTTGGTTGGTTGGTTGGTGGGTTTGAGACAGGATCCTACTGTAAAGCCCTGATTGGCCTGGAACTTGCTATGTAGGTCAGGCTTGGCCTTGAATTCACAGAAATCTACCTGCCTCTATCTCCTGAGTGCTAGGATTAAAGGCAAGTGGCACCTCGCCCAGCATCTTCTTCTTCTTCTTCTTTTTTTTTTTTTTTTTTTTTTGGTTTTTCGAGACAGGGTTTCTCTGTGCAGCCCTGGCTGTCCTGAACTCACTCTGTAGACCACGCTGGCCTCGAACTCAGAAGTCCACCTGCCTCTGCCTCCCAAGTGCTGGGATTACAGGCGTGCGCCACCACCGCCCGGCTTGCCCAGCGTCTTCTTAAAATAACATAAACAAAACAGAAAGAGTTTCACATAGCCTGACCTGCCTCATACTTCTGCCCTTACTACCTCTTCATAGGCTTACAGAGTCCAGCTAAGACTCAACTTCTCCAATTCTCCCAACCACCTGAAAAGGTGAGAAGTATGCTAGCTACTGCCTACCCAGTGCTCGAAGTCAACACAGGCTACGTACTGAGTGTGAAAGCAGCCTGAGCTACGTGAGTCTGAGACCTTTTAAAACAAACAAAAAACAAAATTATTTCTACATTGATTATTTGAGTTTGAATTTATTGGTAATTCTGTCAAAATACCAAAAAATAGACTCTAAGTCACTTGGGAGGCTGAGCCAGGAACACTACAAGTTGAAGACCAGTCTGAACTACATTAACATTTATAGCTCAGTGATAAAAGCATTTACAAAGCAAAGGTTCTCAGAGTGAGGGGACTTTAGCTGCTTTAGCATTGTATTATACCAGTCAGCAATCTAAAACAAATCGAATGTCTTGTCCAAGTTGTCCAGCAGGCAAATAGTAATGCTACAGCCAATGAACTCCAGACTGTGCTCCCTCCTTACAGTGCATTCTAATCCACAGACTTTACTAGTGTCTTATTTTCCAAATATTAGGATAGAAAATATTAAACACTCTTATGAAAGTTCTAACTGACACCATAATGTCAGTAAGTTCCATTCCTCCCACCAAGAGTAGGTTATCCATTTCAAATTCAGTACAAAAGGAAACAGAATACCTTCTTCGTCCATCTCTTAACTCCATTATAGCCTTTGGTTACCAGCTGTCTATGGAAAAAACTGTTGAAGAAGTGGACCTAGAACAAAGAGCACACAGTCAGCCAGGTCACATGATGCTGCAGCACAAACAGCAAACACAGCCAGGTCACATGATGCTGTACCCACATTCAACTTCACAAGAAAATGGAAAGAGGAACCAAAAGTTTTTGTTGGTGGTTTTTGTTGTTGGTTATAGTGTTTCTCTCTGCAGCCCTGACTGTCCTGGAACTCCCTCTATAGACTATGGCTGGCCTCAAACTCAGAGATCTGCCTGCCTCATGGGTGCTGGGATTAAAGGCATGAAGCACTATGCCTGGTGTTTTTTTAACGTAGTTTAGACTGACCTCAAACTCTACTATAGCTAAAGACTGACTTTCTGATCCTCCTGTCTCTACTTCCCAAGTGTTAGGTTTACAAGTGTGTGCTGCCATACTCAGTTTTTGTACGGCTTAAGGGATCAAATCAGGGGTTTGTACCTATGAAGCAAGCACTCTTCTAACTAATCTACACTCCCACCAGTTTCATCCTCATTTGTTTTGTTTTGTTTGTTTGTTTGTTTGTTTGAGACAGGATCTTTCTATGCAGCCTTTGGATATTACTATGTAGATCAAGCTGGCCTCCAACTCAGAGATCCACCTGACTGTTTCTCCTGACTGCTAGGATTAAAGACATTCACCCACATATGGTCAGGCCTAGATTTTTAATTAAAAACAAAAACCCAAAAAAACAAAACAAAAACCCAAAAAACAAAACAGAAAAAAAAAAAACTTTTTATGTATTTAAAAAAAAAAAAAAAAAGGTGGGGTGGGGAGCTGGAAAGATGGCTTAAGAACACTGGCTGCTCTTCCAGAGGTCCTGAGTTCAATTCCCAGCAACCACATGGTAGCTCACAAACATCTGTAGTAGGATCTGATTCTCTCTTCTGGTGTGCATGAAAACAGAGCACTCATGTACATTAAATAAATAAATCTTTAAAAAAAAGAAAAAAAAGTATGTGTGGCTAGAGAGAAGGCTCAGCAAATAAGAAGACTGCTGCTCTTCCAGAGGTCCTGATTCAATTCCCAGCAACCATATGACAGCTCACAACTGTGTATAACTCTAACTTCAGGAGATCCAACACCTTTACAAAGACACACACCCAGAAAAACACAAATTCAGTTAAAATAAAAATTAAAAAAAAAAAAAATTTGCCGGGCGGTGGTGGTGCACGCGTTTAATCCCAGCACTTGGGAGGCAGAGGCAGGTGGATTTCTGAGTTCGAGGCCAGCCTGGTCTACAGAGTGAGTTCCAGGACAGCCAGGGCTATACAGAGAAACTCTGTCTCTAAAAAACAAAACAAAAAAAAGCAAAAAAAAAAAAAAATTAAAAAATATTGAAGAAAGGAGAGAATGAAGGAGGGAGGAAGGGAAGAAGGTCAGTCAAAAGAAAGAAAATACATTATACAGCTAACACAAGATTATATTTCAAAGTTTCATTAGCATTATTAGCATGCCTTTAATTCCAGCGCTCCAGAAGCAGAGGCAGGTGAATGGATCTCTTGAGTTCCAGGCCAGCCTGTTTTACAGAGTGAGTTCTAGGACAACCAGGGCTACATAGAAAAACTCTGTTTCAAAAACCAAAAAAGAAAGAAAAAGAAATGACTGTGCTTTTTCATGACTGTTAGAGAGGAGTGAGTCTCCAAATTCATACCCTTCAGACTGGGTTAGTTTTATAATTCCTACCCCGGAGTTTAAGGCAATCATTAATTCATTTTCTTCTCTTCTTTTTGTTTTTTATTTTTGAAGACAGTTTTCTCTGTGTTGCTCTGGCTGTCCTGGAACCTAGCTCTCTTGACCAGGCTAACCTTAAACTCACAGAGATACGCCTGCTTATGTCTCTTGAGTGCTAGGATTAAAGGTATTCACCACCACTGCTTGGTTTGTATAATCATTTCTATCTATAAAATTTACACTCACAGCTTAGATGTCTTGGTTTTATCTGTCATCTGAGGTAATGTTCCTATCATTGCCACTTATTCAGTGCTAGAGGCGGCACATGGGCTCTTATGTAGAGTAGACAAGAACTCTAGTCCCACAGAGCATTCCCTCTAACTCTGACTCTCTTCAAGCATAAAACTTGTATTCCCTTGGTGCTTGTAAATCTCAGCTGTAGTCACCACACTAGAATAACAACATCATCTAGGTATATAAAAATCAAAATTCTCCTGTCCCCCACCCTCCCCAACTCCCGTCACAAGCCCTAGTAAAGCTGTACCTTCTGGGTGGGTCATAGCAACAACCTGCTTGTATATGTCTCATGTAAGTCTACAGCACATTCCTTTAAGAACTATGTAACCTGCCATCATAGCATGTGCCTTTAATCCCATCACTGGAGAAACGGAGGCAGGAGGATCTCAAATCCAAGTCCAATCTGGGATACATAATACACGCTGTTTCAAAAAGAGCTAGGAACCCAGCACTTGGGAAGCAGATACAGATGGATCTCTGAGTTTTTGGCCAGCCTGGCCTATGTAGTAAGACCCTATCTCAAACAAACAAACAAACAAACAAACAACCCAAAAGAGCTGAGTGTAGTAGGTTATACCTCTAACCCTAGCATTTCCACTAGAGCAGGAAGCTGGCCTTAAGTTCAATGCCAGCTGACCTACAGTAGTGAGTTCCAGGGCAGTCAGAACTATATAGAAGAGACCCTGTCATAAAAATAAAACAAAAAACAAAAAACCCAAAAAACAAAAAACAAAGAAGCATTCTGCTTATTATTGAAATTAATTAATCAATTAATTAATTTCATTTTAAAATTTCTGGCCTCCTGAATGCTGGGATTAAAAAGGTGTTCACTGCCATGCCCAGCCACAACTGTTTTCTTTCTTTTTTTTTTTTTTTAAAGATTTATTTATTTATTTTATTTATGAGTACACTGTAGCTGTCTTCAGACACACCAGAATAGGACATCCAATCTCATTACAGATGGTTGTGAGCCACCATGTGGTTGCTGGGAATTGAACTCAGGACCTCTGGAAGAGCAGTCAGTGCTCTTAACCGCTGAGCCATCTCTCCAGCCCCACAACTGTTTTCTTAAGAGAATGATAAAGGGCCTTAATTCCAACACTCAGGACAAAGAGGCAGAAAGATCTCTGTGAGTTCAAAGACATCCTAGTCTACATAGTGAGTTCCAAGAAAGCTGAGGCTACATAGAGACACTTTGTCTTAAACGAAAGCAATAAAATCAAAATTAAAGTAAATTAAATTACTTAAAAGTTAAAGGGTCTAAATTTAAATCAAATACTCAAGGGTTTACCTCATTTTTTTTTTTTTAAATTCAGGCACAAGTACAGGTGCCACAGTAAGCCAGTAGAAGCCAGAAAGCATGTGGGTCTCAGGGATTGAACTCAGATTGTCAGGTCTTTGGAGCCATCTTGTTGGCAGTCTCTTTAAAAAAAAAAAAAAAAAAAAAAAGACAGCCTGGGGCTGGAGAGCCAGCTCAGAGGTTAAGAGCACTGGCTACTCTTCCAGAGGTCCTGAGTTTCTAGCAACCACATAGAGGCTCACAACCATCTGTAATGGGATCTGATGCCCTCTTCTGGTCTCTCTAGCCCTAAGACTAAGTTTTGTTTAAAAATCTGTAACATATCTTTATTACAAAAAAAAAAAAAAAGTAAGCTCTGTAAAAATTAACACAACTAAATAAGGAAGAAAATATGGGCACTGTGATATTTTTTTGATCAAAAGTGGATTTTTTGGTTTTTTTCTTGAAACAGGGTCTCATGTAACCCATGCTGTCTGGCATGAAGCCCTTGCTATGTTGCCAGGATCCTCATGCCTCCACCTCCCAAAGTGCTGGGATAACAGGTGGTGTGCACCACATTCAGCTTCAACAGAAATGATCTAACAGAACTAACATGGCAGACTCTAATGCAGTCAAGACATAATCGAAACCAATTAATCTAAAGAATGTCAAATAATTACATACTGTTTAAAAGCAAATCAAACAAAAGAATAAAAACCACAAAAAACTTAACCACCACCTTACTATCAATACAAGGATGCTCATCAAGAGAAAGCTCCCGCTTACTTTGTCTGGGACTGCATCCATTATCAGCTCGCCATACATATTAATAACCTGTAAAAAGTAAAACCAGCTGATTAATCCTGCACAATTCAGAACATTCTAGCAGGATGAGTAGTATGTTGAATGTAGTGAAGGTAATAAGACCTTGTTTCTAAAGATAAATGGAAAGCCAGCCCAAAAATTATTGGCCAACACCCTGTGCCAAGTTCTACCCTGAGACCCCACGTGCACTGACCTGGTCATTCAACCAATTTTGACCATCCAAAGTTGCCAGATCATCCATGTCCAGCATGTGCTTATTGTAGAAGATTCGGAAGTTACACTTTTGATGTCTGGCCCGGTAGTTTGTTATTTCCCTATTGATAAATGGTTTTCTAAAACAGATTTTGAAAGGAAAAGTTAAAATGAAGTGCATTTTATTCAATGTATAATTATCTCTTTTCTTTTAAGGGAAAAGTCACTTATGGCAGTAATATCTGTAAGGGCTTAACTTCAGCATCACTGACATACCTATTAGAAAAGTCTTCATTAAAGACATCTTTTAATCTCCCAAGGACATCTTTTTCACTGAGTGGGACCAGACTTCCATACTTTTTCATAACCTCATCTAGGAATCCTTACATAAAGGAAAAAGAAAAACATGGAAATTCTTTTCAGCAAAGTTATTTTCATAACACATACTTACATTTATTACAGAGAGCATAGAACCATAATCTGTAAAAAAAACAGTAACATCATTTTAAAAAAATTGGTATTTTGAACCTTCATCATTGTAACCCATGAAGAAATGTTCATGGCATTTTTTGATCTTAGCCAAAAGCTGGGCAAGCAATTAGAGGGCATCAGAGGAGGGTGTGTCTGCACGTGCATGTGTGTATAGACTGAGTCTAGTCTAGTCAGCTTCCTATACTCTGGTATTATAGGTGTGTGCCACCATGCCCAGATTACAATATTTTTAAACTACTGACACACTCCAGAGTGGCTAGTTAAGAGTAATATTTCCATAGTGGGACCTTGAAGAAGAAACCTCTCCTTAAGAACTCCTAGAAACCCAAGCATAGTGATAAACTACTGTGCTCCAGCTACTGGAGAGGCTGAGAGCAAGGGTCACTTGGGCACAGGAATTCTGGGCTAGCCAGTTGTGGTTTAAGAATGGCCCCTACAGCCAGGCAGTGGTGCACACCTTTAATCCCAGCACTTGGGAGGTGGAGGCAGAGGCAGAGGGGCAGAGGGGCAGAGGGGCAGAGGGGCAGAGGGGCAGAGAGAGGCAGAGAGAGAGGCAGAGAGAGAGGCAGAGAGAGAGGCA